GCAGCAGCAGCAGCAGCAGCAGCAGCAGCAGCAGCAGCAGCAGGGCATGCCTTCCCCGGGCACCTCCGACTGGCTGTACGAAAACTACTGTAGCCGCCGGATGGGCGAAGGCCAGAAGCGAGTGTTCAAGACCAGGAAACACATGTGGCAAGTGGTACGCGCAGCCACCCTGATCCAGGCCTTCTGGCGGGGCTGGAGGGCACGGCAACTCTTGCGTGTCCAGGAAGAAGCTGCAATCAAGATCCAGTCTGCCTATCGGGGTTACCGGACCAGAGTCTACCTCATGGAGGTGGGAGTCCTAAGTGAAGGAGATACAGATTAAAACTGTTTTCGGAGGACTGGGTCCTCTGAGAACCGGGGGGAAGGAAGAGAGAGGCTTGAACATCTATTTCCGCCTCTGTTTCCCTGCCTCCTCTAACAAGCAAGCTTGCATCCTAATAAATTGATCCTAATTATGAATGTTTCTCAGTCTTATTTATTACATTTCCATCCCACCTTCCAGATCTATGAGTCTAACATGTGACGCCGCATATATCTGATACCACATATTATATAGGTATGTGAATGAATGTAGTTGCGTATAAAATCTGCTATATTATACACACACAGACACACTCATACCAAAGAAGTAACATTTTCAGTCCTTTGTGTTTACAGCACAGTTGTAGGAGGCTTCCAAAACAGAATTGCAGTTGCGCAATAAAAGGAAGGGGGAAGGGATTCGGAGAATTCTGCCTTCCCCTGGTAACCCACCCTTTTGCCCCTCTTTTTTCCTTTAAGCCCCACACATGTGCAAACACAACAGTCCATTAAGAAAGATGCACTTCCTACTCCAGCTGAGACCACCAACCAACTGCCACCCCTTTGTAACCTGTTCTGGGGACCCTTCCACCCTGATCCTCCAGCCGCACAGCTGGAGCAGGACAGATGCTCTCCCCAGGTGACCGCTGGGCGGCAGAATCCTTTGGGCTGCAACTGTGTTGGTCAGAGAGACGCTACCACCTACGTGGGCACCTTCCCAGCCACGGGCATCGCTGCACGCGCAGCCCGACAGCAAGAAAACTGTCCAGCTAGCAGGAACCCTTCAGAGCAACAGAGGTTCCGTTCCCCATTATCCCCGGTCACCAACCCACTAAAAGAAGACAACCGAGCCTTGGCAGCCCCAAGGGGCTGGCTACGTTTTACTGAGGCTTTGCTCGAACAAGTCACCCACGCAGCCTTTTTTTCCTGGCGCAACTACACAGCCTCCCTGTTCTCTCTGGTTTTGGGACTGGTGGGGGGAAGGAGCTGTCACATTACAGAGGAGGGTGAGGTTGAGGTAAGGAGGGAGTTTCCCGTGGGGCCGACAAAGGCAGCTTTGCTGCTCATGATTGGCATTATTTTTATCTCTTTAAAAAAAGTGACAGGCAAACCAAAAAAACAGAATTTCCACTTAACCAACTCAGCCTGCACGAGGGACTGAGAAGATTGTCCATCGTCACTGAAGTCTCTCCACAAGTGGGTTGGTCAAATTTGCACAGTGAACGTCTCGCCCAGCCGTCTTTATAGAACTGTGACTTTTTTTCAAGCTGCGCTTCCTTTGCTGACTGTGACCGAAAGCCCAGCGTGCAGGTCCTAATGTCCAGTTGCAGAGCACCTGGGGAGGGTCACAGCTGACTGCTGGGAAAAGTTCAGGGGTCAAATCTGCTGCTGTCCATCAGCTGCCCTATCGTGCTTTTGACAGGTCTATCGTTCTGAAGACCTCCAGGTTGGGGGCAACGTGCCTCCACATCCTATATGCTGGGGAACAATGTCAGGAGGAGGAGGAGCATATCCATCTCTTGCTTGTGAGTGCCATCTGGCATCTGGTTGATCACAGTGAGAAACAAAATGCTGGACTAAGACGACCCTTCTAGCAAAGCTATTCTTGTGTGTTATACTTTCGGACTCGAGGGTGAGCTTGAGTGGGGCCTCATGAATTGCTCCCCAGTCTTTTCAGAGAGCAGTGGAAAACTCCAAGAACGCAATGGCGATGGTCAATACAGTGAGGGCAGAACATGCCCACAGGGTGATATCCCTCGCTGCACATCCAAGAGTCCTCTCTGCACCCATGGGGATGGTCAACAGAACATTACAGGTTGCTCCTCTCAGGACCCTGAACTCACAGAGAAAGCAGACTTAGCAGAGAGAGGTGGGAGGAGGTCAAGGAAACAGCTCCATTGGAGGTCCATCCACCCCAGGGCTCAGTAGCTCCACTCAGCAGTGGATTTCGTATGCTATCTGAGGCTGGAACATCAGTCCCTGGTTGGCAAAGAGCTCACTGGCTTCTGGGGGACAGTCCTCTTCCCCTTCCAGAGTCTGAGTAGCTTGATCTTGCAGCTGATCCGGGAAGACCCCTGCCAAGCCTTGGGGGTCCTTATAGGTAGCAAAGAGGGGCTTGTTGCGGTCAATGACAAACATTTCGTGGCCCCTCTCATCGCGGTATTCCTCCAGCTGGGCAAAAGTGGTGGGCCCATCGGAATAGTCATTGACGTACAGGATGTTCTCCTCCTTCTTGGCCTTTTTCCGCTTGCGGTGTTTCCGGTAGATCATGATCACCAGCAAGAGGGCTACAAGTGCTAGCAGGGAGATGGCCACAGCAATGGCAGTCTGGGTGGCCATGCCAAGGGCATGGAACTCCATGCTCTCCATGTCGTAGAGGGGCTCTTGGCTAATGTCTACTGAAGTCGGGTAGCCCTGCGACTGCTGCTGCTGCTGCTGGGAGAGGTTAACCATGAGGTGGAAGAGCACCCGGGCCATACCACCTGGATTGGAAGCCTCACACTCATATTTACCGGCATGGGACACCGTCACATTGTTGAGGAAGAGCATCCCGCTGCCAGTGTCTGACTGCTCAAAGCGCTCCCCCACGCTGCGCTCACTCAGCTCAAAGGTTCCACCAAGCAGCCGGGCCCGGCTTCCCTTGGAGCCCCCTGCCCGCCAATGGGCCAGTTTACGCCATGTCACTAGGGGCTGCGGGTAGCCCGAGGCCTGGCAGGAGACGCGCAAGTCGTCACCCAGCCGGGCCATTATTTCGAGGGGCTGCACTTGCACGACAGGAGGGATGCAGATCAAGCTGTTGCCGGAGACATCTGCTAGGCTTTGGTAGGCCAGGCGTGGTGGCTCCGAACACTCAATCTTCTTGTCCAGTGGACTCAAGAGCCTCTGCCCTTCCTCTCTGATCCAACTGCTGAGCCAGTGCAGGGCACAGTCGCATCGCCACGGATTCTCTGCCAGAAAAAAAAGTGTCCTGTCAACCAGGAAGAGTTCACCCAGCTCCCATAAGCCACCTGGGTCCCATGTGCACTCCACTGTTTGCCCAATGGTCCATTCAGTCCTGCATCCCCTATGGAGGAGGAAACTGAGCCAGGGATCCTGCCTGCCAAACCCACTCCGCTTGACTTTCTGACATCAGCTTTCTCCAACTTGGCACCTTCAAGACACATTGGACCTACTGTCCCCAGCACCTGAGAAGGGACCAAGTTGAGGTAGGCTTCCCAGTGTGATTTGGAGGTGACTCAAAGACATTGATTCTTCCAACAGAAGAGAATCCCTGTAGCTCAGGGTTGGACTAAGGAGTCCTTGGTGCTCTCCGAGCTTGGCGGTTGGCTTGAGGACCTTTCATGACCCGATTAGGTCACATCATCAGTGACACTGATTCTCTTACCCACAGCTCAGACCCATCTCTTACACAAACTGTGTGCAAGTGGTTGTGACATTATCCCTCCCTTCCCCACAAAGCCTGGGAACTACCGTTATGAGGAATTATCAACAGTTCTTTACCAGCCTTTGGTCCAGGGCTTCTTATGCTTTGAATCCAGCTCTATTGTCTTGCTAAAGCTGAGTCCAATTCCAGGGCTAGACCCAACTCCAATATGCCAGGCCCCACTCCCCAAAATCCTCACCCAAGGGCTTCCCACATTTTATGGTCCCTGCCAAATGGACCTGACAGAACATTGTTGGATCCAAGTTCCCAGGAGCTCCACATTTCTCTTAGTCCTTTCTGCTGAGATTCCTCCCCACTGACTAAAGGATCTCTTTTTCTTCCCCAGCTTTTCCTTCATCCAGGAGAAATGGAGGACTGCCAGAGGTCACTTTGGACACACCTGTCAGCCTCAGCACTTGCAGACTGATGAGAGGCCGCAAGGTCACCCGGCTGATGGTGCGCAGGTTGTTCTTGCTGAGGTCCAGCAGGGCTAGCGAGGTCAGCCCGGTCAGTGCTTGGTCCTCCAGAGTCTCAATGCTGTTCTCTTGCAAGTGAAGTTCCTGCAGCCTCTGCAAAGGGAAAACAGGAGCACATCTTCAGAGTGAGCAGAAGACTCTTTGGCTCTTCCATTCCTTACTCCTTCCTGTATCTTCACCTCCTTCATCTGCCTGGTTGACAACAGCCTGAGGGCAGAAGTGGTCCTGGCCAGGATGTGTGTCATGGGCATGCACAACTCCTGCTAACTCAGGGGTACCTATTCTTCTGGTAACCAAGACCCCATTCAATACCCTTTGCAGCAGAGAGCAAGGGCTGCTATGATCACAGTCGCAATGCAAAATGAATGGCCTTCTCCTGTGCAAGTGTGGGTGAGGCTAAGGTGTGAAAGAATGTAGCCCCAGCCTTGGGAAGGGCGAAGGGAACAATGAATGATCAAGGGAGGAGAAAAGACTTCTCAGTCCTGAGAAAGAGGAAAGTGTGAGAAAGAACCTCAACATAACCCCACTTTGATTTTGCTGGGTATAAGATGAAGTAGAGAGAAACACTGACTGGCTTTCAAGATTCTGTTATTCTATCCCACACCAAGAAAGAACATTTTTGGAATCCCTGCTGCTTTTGTTTCCTGGCCCGGCCTGCCTCGAAGGGCTGATACTAATCTTGAAATCCTCTCTCTACCATGCCTTACACCCTACACAATCAACACAAGGTTATTTTGAGCTTCTTTTTCACACTTTTTCTCAGGAGCGAGAAATCTTAATGGTTCATTGCTCCTTTGCCCTTCCTGAGGCCAGGTCTATATTCTTCCATAGAAGGTGAGTTGGCTAGTTTAGCGTTACTCCATAGCAGTGTTTCTCAAATTTGGCCACTTTAAGATAGGTGGACATCAACTCCCAGAATTCCCTAGCCAGCAAGGGGGATTCTGGGATTTGAAGTCCACAGATCTTAAAGTGGTCAAGTTTGAGAAACACTGCTCTATTAGATTTTGTGAGGCCCTCACCTGAGATACAGGCAGGAAGAATGTGGGAAAAGGATTGCAGGGTCAGAATAAGGAGTGACTCAATTGGATTAAAAATAAATAAATAGGATCCAACATTATCTCATGGCTGAGACTGAAACCTGGGAGTTCCATCCTCACTTAATTTGTTTGATTATTCTGCCTGCCACCTATTAAGTGAGTGTCCCTCCCACCCCACGCATACCCCTGACGCGCAATTCCTAACCTTCCTGTTTGACTTTCCCAAGCTGGTGGTTCCATTGCTCTTTCTGGGGTTCTCTGGTTAAATTGCACAATGTCATGGTGCGTTTTGTGATATTTAAAGTCACTTCTGATATTTACTTTTCAGAGAAAAAGGAGATGGAACTGGAACAAGGTAAGAGTTTCCTTAAGCAGCTCGCGTACTTGTACTCTGGATACCCAGGGCCGGTGAAGAGCAGGATTAGAATCCAACTCTGGCTAAATCTGGGCTTATGCTGAAGCCTGGATCACACATAATTGCAAACTCTAACATGATTTAGCTTGTTGTTTGAACGTTGCTCCTAAGCATTGGAAACCATGGTCTATGGCTTCGGGCGCTGAATGAATGTAGCCCATTGTGGTTTATTTAACTTTGGTTAACACAAACCAAGGCTTAGTTCAATGCATAAGGCTAATTTCTGCCTCAGTTCCACAAACAGGGCTTACAATGCCAGACGTTGCTGTTAGAGAAGGCCGAATGAACTCCAGCCTCCTTTTGTCTGGTCCCCCAGAGAACCTCACCTCCAAGTCACTGAAAGTGAAATCAGGGAGTCGGGTGATCTGGTTGCCAGAGAGATAGAGGACACGCAGGTGCTCCAGCCCCTTAAAGATGCTGCTGTTGATCAGATGGATCCGGTTGCCATTCAGAGCCAGTTCCAGCAGCCGATTCTGGTTGTGGAAGGCTCCTGGCTCCAGGGCTGAGATGGTGTTGTTCTGCATGTAGAGATACTGGAGGTCCAAAAGAGAAGCCAAGTCTTGTTGGCGGATCTGGGTGATGCTGTTGTCCTGCAGGAAAATGGTCTGCCAAGCCAGAGAGGGAGGGAGAGAGCCCAGATTCTATCATGGGTGTCACACGTCCTTTGTTACATAAATTACATCACTGGCATTGTTTGCACAATGACATCATGAGCTAATGTGACGTCATCAGGGCTTGAACCAGATCCCTATGGGCTCGGTTCAGCTGTGCCCTTTGAAAGTGAAGAAGGGCAGCTAGAAAAACTCAAATTTCTCTCTCCAGATTAGAAGCCCAAAGACTTGCTGATGAAGTAGATATTTGTGGGGGTCCACACACATTTTTATGAGTCTTTCAATTTATTGGTTTCTCTTTTTCTTGCATCCCTAAAGAATCTTTGTTCTTTCAGCAGTTTATGCAAATCTGAACCAAGAGCATTGAGAAGCACATGCGCTTGCACGTGCACACACTGCTGCAGGATACAGTCCCCCAGGCAGAAAATCAGTCAAGAGAAAAACTCGAGAGAGTTGAAAGTTCTCTATAAACTTAATAAAATTAAAATTAATACAATTAATCTTTCAACTATACAAAAAAGAAGCTAAGAAAAGGCTCCACAGTGCTGCTTCCTCTTCCTCTTTCTAACTGTATTAGCCTTTCAGACCCCCAAGCACTGGGGCCAGGATGTAAGTCACGGGACCGGTGGCACAGGGGTATGGGACTAGTGGTGCTTGAGGTTTTATTGGGCCTCAATTTGATTTCTTTTGGTTTTAATGGCATGATTTGTTTTTATTTTGTTTGCCACTCAAAGTTTCTTTGGCTAGATGGTGACCATATAAATTGGATTAATGAATGGATACATTTCTGTCCCTTCCTTTTCCTTAAACCGCAATCCATGGATAAGAACGAATGAAAGATCCTTGAACCCACCGTGTCTGGGTTCATGCAACATATTGCACGAGGCTGAAATGGTCACGCTTCCATGACTGGAGGGGACTAGAACCGGTGTCTCCCCACTCCTGGGCCAGCACCTTCACCACTGGACCACCATGGTGTAAAAGATCAATATGTCACAGCCTTTTTGGAAGGGCTCTGGAGGCCATTCCCAAGGCTTTCAGAGGTCACATGTAGGTTGTGCACCCCTATTGTGAAAAACCAAACCAAACCACCACTGCTCTTTCGTTACTCCTTGCGGAAAACTTTGCTCCTTGATTATAGATGAAAAAGCCAAGCCAACACATTCTATGTGTAACACAGAATACTTAAACAGCTAAAGAGCAGAAGTGGTTAAAAAGAACTAGCATTGCATTAGGCTAAAACCACAGCCTTTGGGAGCATCTTCAAAGGTAGTGAGAGCCCCTCAAAGTCTGGTATCAACACAGGGAGAGAGTTCTGGAGACCTGGGGCCACCACTGAAGTGTCCCTGTTTCAAGTCCCCCTTGCCTTGCTAGTGAGCATGGCACCGGAATGAGAGTAAGCGGCAGGCCCACAACTGGGCACTGATGGCCTCACCTGGGTGGAGGGGTAGATGCTCCCCGGGATGTCTTTCAGCCCCAAAGAACCACACTCCACGGTCAGGCTGTAGCAGCGGCAAGGGGCAGGGCAGACGTGGGCCTGGAGCACCAGGAGCCCTAGCAGCAAGAGGCAGACCAGTGGGGCTTTCACCGGGGCCATCCTAGACCAGCTGCTGACGAGAGAGAGAGAGAAAAAGGAAATTGCCAAAGAGCTCCCACCACAGGAGAGACCAAGGCAGGTCACCCGAAGACGGCTGGATGGTACCCTTGGTCAGCTCCACCCAATCTGGGGATGATGATAATTGTTCAGATGATCTAAGAGCACAGGGAGGGCTGGAGAAAGTGGCCTCAGACTACAGGCTGTACACATAACTGCCCCACTTCCTACTGCTTCTTCATTATCAAAGACATTTCATCCCACCCCTTCCCTAGGACACTCAAGCTAATATATCACTCTCTCCCTTTTATTTCACTACAGCCCTCCAAGGTAGGTTGGACTGAGGGTGTCTGGTAGGGTCCCAGTCCAATTTTCTATCTTCTGACCCACCAGGCTCTGCTCTTGCCCAATCCTGTTTATGTTTACTCAGAATTAAGCCCCCAACAATCATGGGGATTGCTTCTTCTCAGAGGAAGCTGTGGAAGCATCAGGCTCACCATGGATCCATACACCTGCTTTGAAAACCAGTGAATTCACAGGCTGGCGCACACACACACTGCTTACCTGGTAAGACCCACACCATTTCTGAACCAGTTTGCTGAAGCACTAACAAGTCAAACTGAGCCAGAGTCTTTGCCGCTGAGTCTTCATTTCCCAGGCCTGACCGCCAGTTTGGACCTGGGAAAGGGGCTTCTGCACCACTGATGGATCTAGCAGGACTGGCTAAGAAGCCACTACAACTTGATGTCTCTTCTTCTCATACCTGAACATTGGGCACGATATTTTTGAACAATGGACCCAGAAATTCATTTTAAGAGTGTCTGCCTTTGTAGACAGATTGTGTTTAAAAGATGTTATGGAAGAGGAACAAGTTTTACTGGACAAGATTGAGACTGATCTGAAAGCGGATTTAAAAATGACAGGCTACAAGAATGGCATGGAAAAGGATGCTACAGTGGATCTACAAATGAAACCAGCTGATGTCTTAATAATTAAAAGGGATATACAAATAATAAACAAGAGAGTGACCTGGATAATTTTCCTATATTGGATTTACAGAAAAGGCTTGTTAAAGCTTTGAAGAATTTTGTGAGAAGGGATAAAGAAAAAAAATGAAAAGAAATCAAGTGCTAGGACATTATTTGAAGGGACTAAAGATCAAGACTGTTAAAAGGAAGGAATGTAAAGTTGGTTTATTTGATCGAGGTTAAAATAGATACGTTGTTATCTTTGGTAACCCTAAATGGATTTTTGCTGAAATGACGAGGTTTTTATGGATTTGTTTATAGATAAGAGATGGGATATGGGAAGAAGAGATCATTTGTTTTAAGAGAAGATGATAAGTTATTAAAGTTGTTTATACTTGTGATGAACGGGGAAGTCATTTCTTCATATATTTTCTTTACTATATTTTTATTTTTTATTTTTCTATTTTTTAATTTTCTGCATCTTCTATCTTCTTTTTGTTCTTTTATTTATTTATTTAGTTTGCCTTGGTTTTTATTGTTGCAATTGTAATTTTTAATAAAACTGCCATTAACAAAATAGCAAGGGCTTATAAAGGATACTCCTTTGAGATTACAATGGATCAAGCATGACAGTTCATTATAAAGCTCAGCCACAGGGAAAGTAACGAATGTGACCTTGAGGTTTAAAACGAGGCAGTGGATTTATGGGAGGAATTGGTTGGCATGGATCATCTTCCCCACACCTGGCAGACCCCAAATTCAGCGCACAGCATTTCTAGGTTCCATGCTGGACGGGGCAGGGGGGCACAAGAGGAGCATCTGTGGGGTAAACTCCCAGGGTGCAGCGGCAGCTACATTTTTGCAAGATCATCTTCGAGGGGCTCTTCCTGCAACAGCTCAGCAGCTTTCAGGAGCTGCTCCGTTCCAGCAAAGGAAGAAAGTGAAGCCCCCTCCAGTTGGTTTCCTGGGGCGTTTGGAGACTGTGGCCATTCTAAAGCTGCTTATAGGCCCAGGATGGATGGGAGAGGCAGCCCCTAGGAAGCCCACCGCGAGAAGGAAGGGCTTGACTGATGCCAGGCTGTTTGGGAAGGCACACGTGGTGCACACGTACATCTCAGGAAGAAGGACACACAGGCTTCAAAAGGCCCAAGGCATAGATGGGGCCGCGTGTGCTCCAAAGTAGTCAGAGCCATACCCCTTCCTTGCAAATGATTAGGGGGAACAGATCTAAGGATTTTTTTTGTTTTGGCAAGACCTTCATTGAAAGGGAACGGGTTAAAAACGTCATTCTTAACTTGAGGATGCAAGTATTTCTTCATACTGTATGGCATTTCTTTCACGCACTGGCACACAGATGCACACTTTGGCACTAAATCTGGCTGCTGCTGCTGCTGCTGCTGCACCCTGTTTGTGCTACAATACAGAGAAGTCTGGGTTGGTCAGCCTTGGACGCCACCATTGGGACTGCAGACAGCCTAAATTTGCTGGTTTATAAAACATCTGGCTGTTTGGATACAAAGAGGAATTCACTGTCTTCCATTCTACGTATTAAGGCAACAGCTGCAAATCTGGGATAGCTCGCATGGCTGTATCACCAGATTGCCTGCAAAAGCTCTGATGTTTTGCTTTAAATTAATTCATGCCCAACAGCTGCCATGATATTACTCTTCTACAGTAGGAGAATGTTTGATCCACAATAGTTTCCGTGCAGTCCTTTGCACACGCGTTGGCACGGGAAGAAAAAAACACCCCTCCTCCCATCTTCCATAAAGAGAAAATGCAGATATCCATACAGAGAAGTGACTTTCTTTGCTACCACTGTCTGCAGACTAAATAAAAGTGCACCAGCTCCATTAACTCCTATTTTGAAAAAGATGGGAAGTTTTATATAGCAAATGAGTGTTTAGTACAGGAAAAAAATAGCATTTCTCCCTCTTTCAGATATACATTTTATGCATCTTGGTGAAACAGGAGCTTGTGATCCACATTAAGAAATGTAAGTGCTCAGAGCCTTTTTGGAATGGTGTAGCATATAAATTACAGAAACACATATACTCTTGGAAGTGAAAAAATGATCTGAAATAGAATGGGCGGCTACAGGCAAGATGAATGAATTGGCAGTCTTGTCACTCAGAATCTTTGCCAACAGACTTGCAGATTGAGGGTTCCCAAACTTTTTGGCTCACAGACACATTGGAGATTTTGAGAAATTGTTGTAGATCTAGAGCTGCTGTGGGGGGGGGGTACGTGTGGGTGCACATGCACATTTGCTCTTTCATGAAGAGCAAGAGTCAGATTTGGTCACTAGCCAACTCTTCTTCCTTGAGCAAACCTTTCCATGAGTTGAACCCAAAGGTTGAGCTCACACATACTTAACCAGATCCATGTATAAGGAATTGCATTTGCCCAAGATGTTCAGCTTGGCAGGTTGGCTTTTCTCTGGCTTAGCCCAACGCGCAACCCGGGCCTGTTCTGTGCATGCTTTAATGCTTTGTGCAAAGCTAGAAAATGGCTTGCTTTGGTAACCACGTTCAGCAAACACCGTTGCCTGTGATGGCAGCTGAGCCCCTTGGAATGCCTCAACTCCTCTGGCACTGAGGGAACCAAATGCTCCTCTCAGAATGCAAATGCAGGAAAAAGGCCACTTTTAACAACAGGTTGAGCGGAAAATCAAGATGTGTTTTGTCAAGGAAACTGTGACTGGCATATGTCTACCAGCTGATGCAGAAATGGCCTCCAGGAGCCTCCCCGCCTAAGCCAGACGCAGCCCAGGGGAGCTGCACGGGAGCCTCTGAGCCAGAAAATGATGGGCTGCAGAACCGGAGGGGGGCAGCCAGGAGCCTGAGGCGTGCGTGCGTCTGCCGATGGTGTCTCGGAAGGGGCAGGAAGCCAAATCTTGAGGGGGCGCACGCCTTCCCAGCAGCAGCAGCGCCATGTGGCTGGCCGCTCCCCAGCCCTCCGGCTCTGGGGTTCAGGTGGCAGGAGCTCCCACGGAGCGAGGGAACGGGCCCTATGAAAGGAAAGCTCTCGTGGTGCCTTGGGGTGGGGGAGTGGAAGAAGGGGTCTGTGAAATGCATCTGGCCCAGAGCAACAGGGTCGGAGCAGGCGGAGCCCCCCCCCATTAACTAAACCCGCCCACATAGGCAGCGGGACACAGAGGGCAGACGGGTCCAAGCGAAAGCCGCGCATTCTAGAGTTTCTGCGCAGCGATCCCCGTCTGAGTTGGCCACTCACACGCCTCCTCCTTGTTTTTGAACCCTGTCCCATTTAGGCTCCTGCACGTTCAAATGAAGGTGAAGGCACCGAATGCCTCTGGAGTCCTGCACGCGGATCACGACCTGATTCACACAGCTGGCTGAACCATCTGGCGGACTTCGTGCTGAGCCAAACCAGGTAAGCCACGCGAGGGGGTCCGAGGGGTAGGGCCAAAAGAGCCACCCCTGCGACGGCGGCTGTGGCGTGGAATCGAAGCTGCACCGCTTTTCCACATGCGCCGCGTGGGCGGCCACCCCTGAGCCACGTGATGGGTTAAGAGCATGAGTGAAACAGGTCGGAATGTGCAACCGGATTTGGGGCAAGACAAACTTTCTATTTTATGTCAATGTTGTATGCATGTATGTATATATTATTTCAATCCTATTTTTATCTAACAAACGCAGTGGTGAATATCTGTTTGGTTTAGACATCAGGCAGAGAAAGCCCATCGGCCTCAGGGTGTTGGTAGAAATGCTGGAAAATTGAACTTCAAATGGCCCTTCGCCTGGTGCCCAGAGGGCACTTTCGGTTCTGACTGGTAGGAAATTACGCGGCATTTCACATAAACTTGATTCCTAAAAGCCATCTTCTCCTGCCACTTTAAGCAAGGCATATTTCACACTAAATCATAATATGGCTTTTAGAAAACCAAACCAAGTGTGGGTTATTCACAAACCAGAGTTAGAAATTCTGGCTTTGCGTGAGGTACAAACCAGCTCCCAGATGAATAAACTTTTTGTGGAGTCCTAGCACTGAAGATGTTACCTAGCCGGGTAACAAAACATTTGC